TCTCTCTCTCTCTCTCTCTCTCTCTCGTCGTCTCTCTCTTCTTCTCTCTCTCTCTCTCTCTCTCTCTCTCTCTCTCTCTCTCTCTCTCTCTCTCTCTCTCTCTCTCTTTCTCGCTCTCTCTCTTTTTCTGTATTTCTCTCTCTCTCTTTCTCTCTCTCTCTGGGAAGCACCACAGCGAATGCATGAAAATTCAAATATTTTCTTTTGCATTTCCTTTCGTGTTTGTGTTTTATTTCTATTTAAGACCAATTGTTGCAGGGGTAAACTGCTCGATGCACTGACATCATGAAGCTCCAATATTACATTCCTTGCATGTTACAGATGGACCCACATCCCCCGTCCTCTTGAAGGCTGATCAGGTGATCGTCTCTGGGGAGGCCTGCCAAGCCTATTACGGATCCTTTGTCCAGCCAGCGGGAATGATCTGCTCCGGACAGGGAAAGGAGACAACATGCAGTGTAAGTGACAATCTAGTCTAAGTGAACGAGTCTGAGAGACCGATATTGAGTAACCATCGAGTTATGATGCATAATTCTTTCTATCCGGCTTGAATAAGTACCTACTTGATGCCTTTTAATGGCACCAGGCTTTTCATGGCTCTTTCAATTGAATTCCACACAACACTTCTACGCTTGTGTGCTACACTACTTCTACACCCTACTACGTGTGTCGCTACGCCGATACAAGCACCGGAAGCTCATCATGCATCTCTTCGACCGAGCGTTCACTTGTCTTTCGACTCTCTTGCAGGGTGACAGCGGCGGACCACTTTGGGTGACCGAGAACGATCAGCCAACCCTGGTGGGAGTCCCATCCTGGTCGGTCCGTGGCTGCCAGGCTACCGGCTTTCCTGCGGTATACGCCCTCGTTACCTACTACTACAAATCGATCATGGATGCCGTCGCCACGCTGTCACCTTAAGTCTTAAGTCGTTAACACTTTGTCGCGTCTGACGTCAACGGCGCTTGACGGTTACCTTAATTACTGCCTCGGTATCATGCATGAATTGGATTCTGATTCAATGAAGTAATGAAGCAATAGTTCAAATAACCTGGTTCACATTAATTTGATTATGAGATCCGATTTTGGGGGAAATTAATGCAAATATTCCGTAAAAATAAACAAGCTTTTCTGTGCAATTTTGTTTCGTTCAACTTGTTCCCTACTTTGCGTAAAAACACATTCAGTTTGTTGACATGTCACTTTGTTTCACGAAACAAAAGCAAAACAGTCGAGAGGATCAAGAGTGAAAACATTCTTTTACTTCGTGTGTTCACAGTCAGTTCACACAATCGCACAAATTTATTTACAAAAACATGACAACAAAATGTACACAACGCTTCACCACCATTGGCCAGAAGCTTCCGAAAGATCCTTGTCATTGTCTACTGTGTGCCCTTGAATTCCCATCATTCCGTAGTTATATAGCCTGTGAAGTGGATGGAGCACTGCTTACCTGCCATGGGACCTCCCCAGCAACCACCTCGGTGCCGTCAACTATCTTACTGTCGTCATGATCTGTGAAGACGAAGCGTTGGCGTTAACGGTGACAAGGACGAACACCCGACGCAACTGCGATCATCACGCAAACAGCAGCAGTTTGAACGGACGTCGTTGGCTTATTACAATACGATGCCTGTATGTAGCTCATAACGATAACAGCTCTACATAATGATGTCTCTCACTGTCTATCTCTCTCTCTCACACACACACACACACACCCACACACACACACACACCCACACACACACACAC